CTTTGCCAGCGATTGTACTGTTCATCTTCGACTTTGGGACACAAAGCCCAAAGGTCTGCTTTTATCCATCCTATGGGTTACTGTCCTCTGCCGGCTAGTCCAGCGATCGTTTAGTGTATGTGTGTGTTCTCCGGCGACCAGCAGACACTTCCAACTTGTTCCACCCATTCGTTCTCCTTTTATTATGTAGCATCTAAATAAAGAGTAAGCTACAGAGTTGAAATGTGGATACATGAAGGGATAATGTCAATATACAAATAATCGTATTCACAGTTTGTAATTAAAGGTACATCTTTAGAGTACTGCTGCTGGCATTTCTCTGGAGGAGGACATTGAGGAAAAGGGGATTTTCTAATTCTGTATGTGAATTACGCATTTTGGAGTGCAAAGAGGGTGATGCAGGAAAAAAATAGATGAGCAGCCTCAGACTTGGAAGCATGCTGTGCTTGGGTTTGACGCTGACAATGTGACTCTTGGAGGCTGTGAGCAGATGAGCAAGTTACTGTGAAATAACACTGAGGGTGAATTGTCTGTATGGGGTAATGAAGGACGGAGTCCTGTGTCTGGTTGTGTAAGGGCAACCACATGGCACACTGCAAAGTTCACTTCCCAGCTCAGACTTGTGGCAACAGGTTTATCAGCCTGGACCTCTGCTGTTGCTTGTTTGCTTGCTGCTTTCCATGGAGAAAGTGCCTCCTGCTTTGTTCCCAGTTTTGTCTTGCTGCCTGGCTGTAGAGAAACGTCCATTTTAGCCGTTGCTATCTGTTTCCCTGTGGGGGATCAGGTTTGAGAATTGCTTTTGTGTTTAAGGCTCCCAGTGTTGTCCCCTTCCTTCTTTTGTGAAAAGGGCAAAATACCGAGAAGTGCAGTAACTTCTCATCCATAAACAAACTGGCTGAAAACAGAAGGTTCCAGCCTCCTCCTCTTCCTCAGGGGACTTGGTGAAAGAGGCTCAAGAGGAGGCAACAGTGTGCATACTCAATAAGTTTTTACATGATTATTTGTTGTATTATGGGATTGAAAAATTAGTGATCAAATTAGCTGGTGGTTTGGTTTTGTTGTTTGTTTGTTTTTTCAAAGAATAGACTCTCATGTTCCCTAACAGTAATAAAAATGGCAAAAACATATCTGCACCTACCTCTAAGACATTATTCTTCAGTCCAGTAGAGTAATCCTGCTTTAAGGATATTGTTTTAAGGATACGTTGCATATTGACTGAAGTTTCTGTAAGCCTTGTTGCGTTTTGATGTGAGATAATTTAATTTTTGTTTTCTGATGAACGAATTTTTTCCTCACTTTTGCCTTTTCTTTTTTTCTTTTTTTTTTTTTCCCTCCCCAGGCTTCCTTAAGCCAGACTTAATATTGATAAAATGAAAAAGTTTAAGAGAAGACTTTCCTTAACCTTGCGTGGAAGCCAGACCATTGATGAATCGCTGTCTGAGCTAGCAGAACAAATGACAATTGAAGAAAATAGCAGCAAAGATAACGGTAAGCTTGCCTTTCGCTTTCCAGAAAATGCAAGAATTTTGACAGGCCCCACTCAAGTGGGTGCTGTTGGGTTTTATTGCAGTTTTCACAATTGCATGGACTTCCTCACTAATCTGTTCTTTTTGATTTATCTTACATCTGACTACCCTAATTTTTTTAACAGGTTGATATGTTGTCACATACTGGTTTGGTTTGCTTTGCTTTGATATTAAACTGTTATGCAGCTATTTGTCAAAAGCTACCTAAATGGATACTTTTATGTGGTGTGCAGCAAGGATCATAGATAACAAACCCGTTATTGTATAAATTCAGTGGGTCTCACATTAACTTCATATGGCTTCAAATAATTTTTTTCCAAATATCATTGTTTCATAATATAATTGGTAGTAATTGCTTAAGTATTAGAATTAAAACCATATACTTTATCACTGGTGATACAGTGCACTAGTCTGAGAATTCTGTCACCCCTTCATGTCTCTGAGTAGTACTTCTCTTCAGTAATATGAAGGCAGCTAGAAACACTCAGAATAACTAGCTTGTCCATGTTCTTATGCAAGTCTTTGGCTGATCCCATAAATGTACTGGCTGCTATAAGGTTCGCATTAATGAGGATGCTGCTTTTGAATGCAAACCGCAGTAATAATGACTGGAAGAGATTTTGTTGCTTTGTTCTTTTTCCTGGGCTGCAGCTTTTAAGTCATGTTTCATCTTACATGCTGAATAGTGTTGTTTCTTGCTCTGCTGACATCTAAGATTGTCTCAAGTATCAAGTGATCTGAATTGTTTTTTTCCCCACTTCACACCAATAAATGATTCTGAATTTTCCAGTTGAAAACTGACAGGGATGGGAAATTTGAGCAGAAGTAGAGGTTATGGATTTGCCCTGCAGACTTTCAAAACCCCATCCAAAATCTGTTGCATACAAAACAAAGCTATTAATATTTTTCATTTTTACCCTTAAACCTGGTATATTCATTGCTTTTGTCCTGTCTGGAAAAATGTTTATTACAACTTTTATGTGTTGGTACAGCAAGTCTACTCAAACAATAATTGTAGCACTGATGTAAGTACTTTATGAGACTCTGAGCAGTTGTCCCACATAGTTTCACCTGTATTAGCCTTTGTTACTGATTCATATTTTATTCAGACCTGTATATACTTCTGATGGATTGATTTAATTATGCAAATAAGTGGTAAGAATATTATTTTCATGTTGGGAAATAAGCATAAAAAATTGTCACCAGCATCAGTGAATGTAGTGAACTGGGTTACTGAATGGATTCAGTTGAAGACTGGATCCAGGAAGAATAAAAAGATGTTATTTTAAACTGGATCATGTTCTGGGTGCCAGCTTAAAGGGGCAGAGGACACAGTAACTCATTTACAAAAGCATGAACTTACACCATCTTAAACCATGTATGAATCTATTTAAAGTTTATAATATTTACCTGGGAATTATCTCAAACAGGCATACTTAGATGTCTTCTGCATGCTTATCACCAAACTTCGACAAAGTTAACTTCTCAGTAGATGTTTGAAGTGATAACAATACAGTCGAAGAAAATGTTTCTAATTACAGATTCTTTTTTTAGCTTTTGGTACTCCTTTTATTTTGCTTTACATGTTATCTCATTGGCTAAAAGGAAGCTTATATGCTAAAGTTGTGTGATATGGTACATGCTGTGCTTATAACTGCAAAATGTTGTTAATGTCTTAGTAGAGTATCTTTGGATGCTTTGAAGTGTTCTTGATCCTCTTGAAAGAGAAGGATCGTAAATATAAACTGTACTGTTGCTGTGTGTAACCTTTAACTCATTTTATGTAATTCTAAGAAGTTTTACTGACATTTGCTTCCTTTTTCTGATACTCTGGAATGCAGATATTGGTATCTGTCCTATCTCTGATCTTGCAGAGATGAACAGGATACTGCTTTGTGGAGTTTTGTTTTACTTTGTTTTTCCTTTCCAACCGTCCTTTTCTTATAAAGTAGGGTTGGAAAAATGCTTGCTACACCAGCTAGTCCTGCATTTCTAAAGGAAGCTCTAACTTTCCCAAAAGTAGTTTTCAGACAGACCATAGGAATCAGGGTTTGGGCAACAACAATTGCTGGGAAAAAGAGTTGGGAAACAAGTTCTCTCTTTTGGTGAAAGACAGGTTTTGTAGAGAATTTAGCCTGGAAAAAATCCTCCCGTGGACATTATTTAAAAAAATTGCTTAGAGGAGTGCTTGAATGAGGAAGGTTTGTCTCTGCATCCTGTAAAATCAGAGTGCTAAGAAGCCTGTACTGACTTATAGTCAGTACAGGCTGACTGACTCTCGTCAGTCATGAGAGTCATGTGTCCGACTGACTCTCGGACACATAAGCAGATGTAGTCTCTTGAGGAATAGTTTATAAGGTGATAGCTGCATTAAAATCTTGAAAGTGCATGTTCTACTGGGATGGTGCTGATCTCAGAAAGCAGGAGTAACCCTCTCCCTAGTTCTGCTTTTAAGAATAAACAACTCCTTTACCCTGTGGAACGGAGAAACACAAACGTGCCCGGTTCACGGGCTTCGGATCTGTTCTTAAAGGAACTTAAAAAGCAGAGCTTAGTAAATCAAAAGCAAGCAAATATCTTGATCTACAGAGGATCAAAGTCAGGGATACAAACAGTCTTCAGAAAGTGGTTTTTCATATGTGGTTTATTTTCAACCGTTATTACATCATGAACTTGAGAAATGAGAGTTGAAGGGCGTTGCAGCTGTTCTCATGCCGGAAGGCAAGGATAGACCCCGAACACTGAACGCCTTTACAGCAGAATTTTTTCCTATTGTTATTGTCCAGTTTTGTTTTGGTTTGGGTTGTGTTTTTTTCTTCGGAGAGAATCAACTGCCTTGTCTCCTGTCATTCCATTCTGATGGCCGTGTTCACTGAAGGATGTAATTTTATACAAGCTAGCTCTTTTCTTCCTGGAGAACAGCTGTGTTTCTGGATATGAGAGGTTATAGAGGCTACATCCATAGAAACTCCATCTGTGCTGACCAGGGATCCACACTCATCTGACTCTGGTGTTCACGTACGTGTACTGTAAAATCTTTATTACGAAGTTGCTGTTCAGCACTGCAATTCCAGATGTACATCACATGTACACAGTATCAGGAACCTTATCTTAGGGTCACCCTTTTGCAATAACCTGCCTTGGTCGGCCCTCCGGCACACGTTTCCTCTCCCAGAATAATTGCCTCTGATTTCAAGTAACTGCTGATCTGATCCAGAGACCTACCTTGTCATTAGCTCCAGCTTTGAGTAGGTTGTTTGAAGATTTACTTTGACAGAACAGTATTCCTAATGCAGAATAAATTGTCCCATTTGCAGTTCAAAGACATAAAAATAGATACATAACTTTTAATTTCTTTGCTGTGTATTGATACCACTGAATCAGCTAACCTTTTGTATGCAATCTCATTTCATACACAGCCTCCTTCATCGCGTGATGTCAGTGCCATCTCAGTATGCAGCACTCATCCATCAGCAGCAAAACGGGATTAGCGGGGATCAACCCATATTGTTCGACGCAGTAGCACAGGGCTATAGCACTGAATGTAGAATAACCAACAGTTTTGCTTTTGGTTTGGGGTTTTTTGGGAACACCATCAAATTGTTTAGTGAACAGAAAACTATATATAATTAAATCTGCCTTACAAATTATGTTTATCATAATTGGCTTCTGGGTGAGGAAGCATCACAAAATCAGATGCATAAACCATAAAGAAGAGGGACCAGGGAAATGCCTGATACACATCCGAAGCCCTATGAACTGTGGACTGGGTGAAGTATACTTTGGGCTATTCTTGCATCTGAGCACAGAAGATTTTGTGGTCCTTGTTTCAACATATAAAATCAATTAGTTGGATTTTTTGCTTATTTTTCATTCTGTCTTGATTCAAGCACACTAACAACGTGCTGGCTTGGTTTTTTAATTCTAGATTTTTAATATATCTGTTCAGATTAATATTAAAAATCCTAAATGGTAATTTGTAGCCGTTGACAACTAAATTTGCTCCTGAATTTTTTCCTTGCCAGTGACATACTAATGAAATTTAGCTAGAAGTAGCATTCAAATCATGCATATTTAAAGCTCAATTAACTGTAAAATTTATGCAAATACTTTAAATACATACGAATTTGCTCTCTAATGAAAGCAAAAAATGTGGCCTTATTGTCTAATACTATAAAATATGTTACTGTAAGCTCTGGCATGCTTTTAAGAATAATTGCAAGATATGTTAAAAAATACATCTGCAGCTCTTGCCTTAATATATAAGTAACTTAGCCATTCTATATTGCCAGTGTTTATTTTTCTGTATAGACATATGCACATATACATACTAAACCAAAACAAGTCGGGTTCTGATAGAAATGGCTTCATGAATTTGTAGACTAATATTTATATCCATTTGGTCTGCTTTAGCACAGTGATGTGATCATAGGATCCAGTCTCACAAACACTTGCATAATTTTTTTGTAATTTTACAGGTGTGAGTAATAATGGAAGGATCAGCTACAGTAAAGTGCGTAAGTGTTTTTTAGGTTTAAGGCCTTTAATGACTAGATACTACTCTGCTAAGAGGAATGAATGTATAAATTTGACACATTGCAGTACTGTCTCAGAATATCCAAATGTCTTTGTAGTTGTAGTCATTTCATTTCATCTTCAGTACAGCTGAGAAACTCCCATTCCATCTGCCACGTGTGATTCCTTGAGTATGGAAAGAAAACAGTGTGTTGCAACATATTTCCAAGATGTTCTTGAATTGAAAATATGAACAGAGGAGTACTTACTGGTAATAAATCAATACAATTCTCTGTTGATACCAGAGGAAAGTATCAATACAAAAATACCAAGGGGAGGTGGGGAGAAATCACCAAAAGTGCTAGAGCTCATACTGGAGCTACTGATTACTGCAAATAACTGGCAGGTGTCACAGCTACATACTGAACCTTGTACTTGCCCCTTAAACCATACTGATGGATGTTTTTATTATAGTCTGTATGTACCCTGCTCTGCTGTGTCATACATCAGTTTTTGTTATTACTGTTCAGTATGGTTTCTCCATCCCACGTACGCTGCACAACATAGTGTTCTTTCTTCCTTTCTGTTTTAATTTGCTTCTTCCCACAAAACCTGGAGGTTCTATTCATGTGTGGAAGTGGTTATAAAGTCAAATGAGCATGAAAATTCAGTGCCTGAAAGCATGCTGCAGAGACCTATAGTCTTGGGATGGGGTGGGGGCAGTTGCCAACTCGTGTTTTCCTTCACAAGCAGAATGCAGCTTTGGCAGGAGAACATGGTGCTTAGATGCAGATGTGGACTCTGTAAATACACCATATTTCTGCTGCTGTAAGCTTACTGATGGATGTGCAGAGATTGGTTCTCAGATGGCATTCAGATGGATTTTTTTAAATACAGAATAGGAAAACAGACATAACTCACCAACACAGCTGTTGTAAGTAGGGCAAAAAGGAGCCAGTTCCTCTGTTTCCTGACCTGGTTGGTATTGTGACCTCAGAGATATTTGTGTTGGGAGGTACGGGGTAGTTGTGTATACAAGGCAAGGTTAGACGCCAGGGATATTTGTATCTTGGCGACGATGCTGACTCACATCGATTTTAAATTGTACCTGAGAGACTGTTCTGAAGGATTTGGTGTAGTGTGATGCCTTCTGGAGTTAGGCTTTTTAAAAGGAAGATTTAGCAACTGGTGGTGTGTCATGCATAAATGATAAGAGGTACAGGACTACCATGCCTGTGTTCAGTACGTGTTCTGATGACCAGAAGTTACCACAGACTTCTACAAGGACAAGTGCAAGGTCCCGCACATGGGTCGGCGCAATCCAAAGCACAAGTACAGGCTGGTCTCAGAACGGATCGAGAGCAGCCCTGAGGAGATTGACTTGGGGATAATCGTGGATGAAAAGCTGGACATGAGCGGGCAGTGTACGCTGGCAGTCCAGAAAGCCAACCATATCCTGGGCTGTATCAGGAAAAGCGTGGCCAGCAGGTCGAGGGAGGGGATTTTCCCCCTCTACTCTGCTCTTGTGAGACCCCACCTGGAGTGCTGCGTCCAGCTGTGGAGCCCTCAACATCAGCAGGGTATTGACTGGTTGGAGCGAGTCCAGAGGAGGCCACGAAGATGCTCAGAGGGCTGGAGCACCTCTGCCATGGGGACAGGCTGAGAGAGTTGGGCTTGTTCAGCCTGGAGAAGAGAAGGCTCCGGGGAGACCTTATAGCACCTTCCAGTACCTGAAGGGGCTACAAGGAAGCTGGGGGGGGACTTTTTACAAGGGCCTGTAGTGACAGGACAAGGGGTAATGAGTTTAAATTGAAAGTGGAGAGGTTTAGATTGGATATCAGGAAGAAACTGTTCCCACAGGGGGTGGTGAGGCACTGGAACAGGTTGCCCAGAGAAGCTGTGGATGCCCCATCCCTGGAAGTGTCCAAGGCCAGGCTGGATGTGGCTTTGAGCAACCTGGTCTAGTGGAAGGTGTCTCTGCCCATGGCAGGGGGGTTGGAACTGGATGATCTTTGAGGTCCCTTCCAACCTAAACCATTTTGTGATGATTCTATGAAAAGTACTGTCTTGAGAATTATCTTTTCAATAGTAGAAAATACATAAAACTGAAGGGCAGAGTTTTGGCTTTGAATATTTTTCATTTGATTTGTGATCCTCTTTGCCTCAGTACCTAGACTGAAGGCAAAAACTTAACTGTATGTGAAGTCACTCTCAAAAGGCTTCTGCGGTGTTTTTCAGATGTCTTGATCTCATTTTTTGCATTGTGTATGATCTCTTGTGTTTGTAGTTTAAACAGACTCCTTGGAAAAATTTCTGTCCTTTTTGTCCCAAATTGAAGGGGAAAAAAAGGTTGACAGGATGTTACAGTGCCTTTTAAAAACAGTACTTGATTTTTGGGAGAAATTTGAAGGCTCTGTTTCTTTAGGTTTCTGTTGCAACATTTCTTCAAAGGGGCTACCAATATTTTTTGCCCTTTGTCTTCCAAGTGAAGAATGTTTGCTCTACACATGACTGCTGTAATCAAATGGATTGATTTTGAGCAATGGGAGGAATCCCTTGAGGTTCTGCCAAGTTTTTAATATTGTAATAGGTTCCATCTTATTATTTAATGAATAAATAGAGTTTTAAGTGGTTTTGAGTGATTGCACTGTTTTTAGAGTGACTTAATATTTTCCTGGTAATGGAGTCCAAGGAAACAGCCCTATAAAATAATGTATAAATATACAGTATTTTATACAATGCTGCTCATGCAGCTCCCTGAGAGCATAGATAAAGGAAACATATAGATGCTTCAGGTTATTTAAATATTTTTTTTTTCTATGGGAGCCATCACCTGCAATCAACTAATTTTACTGAATAGGTCTGACAGCCTTAAAGCACTGTAATTAAATATTGTATAGTGCAGCATACCAGCTCAAAAATGTCAGAAATTCACATGCTTAGATTCCAGGATTTCTGAAGAAATAAAGGAATTTTTGATAATAGCTTCTTCATGAAAACAGTTTTTTCAAAATATTATATACTGCAAGTCAAAAAAAACCCAAACCAGTCTTAATGCCAATAGACATGTAAAAATTGAGTAATTATTAATAGAGCATATATTAAGGTTAGTTAAGTGAACATGTAGTAGATGATGACAAAATATGATTGTTACATGACTAGCATTTAAGACAGTTTATAAATAATTTTAAAAGGTTAACATGGTGGATCACAAGCTTCATGAATGCGGGGCTGTTTAGAGAATGCATATTTAAAAAATGTAAAGTTTTGACATTTCCCAATTCTTTATCAAAACGGAAAAGAAAAAAAAACCCAAAAACAAACCTTGGGAGTTTTCTGGATCAAGGTGAGGTCAAGGTGGGTGGAAAAGAAACTGTGTAGAGTCCTTTCCTATAAAACCCAGTGGCTGATTCTCGGGGCGTTCAGTGTAATGTTGTAGTTGAGCCAGTCCAAAGTCAAGCTGCAGCTAAAAGTGGTGAGTGAGGTTCTGCCTCCACTCTTCTGTCACTGCCCGTGCTCTGTGTGCCCTGTGATGATCTAGTTCAAAAACCTAAATCGAAATTACACTTCTTTTTTGCTGGAGGAGGACCTTGAGCCACCTTTTTGGTAGCAGCAGGCTTGCTGTTGCACAAAAGTTCATCCTTACTTAGAATGTGGAGCATGCCTGGGATCAGTCCCAATTATATATCCAAATCAGAGACTGTAAATGCTAGGTCTGTGCTATCTGTCTTTGATTAGAAAGAAACCTCCTCCTGTGTACTTCATTTGTATGAGATTAAAGTATATATTAATGTATTTGTATGGTTTCCACGTCCGGAATAGATAGTGGTTATTGAATAATACATTTTCTTGCAGACTTACTCAGCTTTATCAGAGATGCTTGATTTAAGGGAAAGTGTCACCATGTATGACAGGTGAATTTGATTCTTTATTTAAACTAGCTGAAGCAAATACCATTCCAAAATTTAGGCAGTGAAATCTGAAAGCCAGCTTGTTCTTTTTGTCACATAATGGAAATACTCATGGGACAGAAAAAGAGATAGTTGAATATGTGGTATTAGATATTCATAAAGTGTGTTTTAAAATGCATTTACATTCTGAATGAAAACACTTTCTTTAATCCACCAGTTGACTGACGTGTGACAGTATGTCAGTTGCTGGGGCCTTGCATGGAAATGCCCGGCAATACTGCAGGGTCTCTGGAACTCAGATTAAGTAAATCCAGTTAAGTAAATCCAACACAGGGAAGAAAGTGGTAGTGTCACTCTTTGTTAAGATGGATGGACAAGGAAAAGAAACATTGGAGATTTATTGAAAAATTGTTCAACTTGGGAGTAATTTCAGGTCAGGGTTTGTGGTTAATTTAAATTGCAGTTAAAGGAAAAAGAGGAGACATCTTTATAACCTCATAAAATAGTTGGTTTTAACTAATTCCTCAGACAAGCTTCTTGGTTATGTGCCCTATTGTTCTACCAGAGTTTGGCAGTTCTCATAATGATGAAATAAAAGAATCAGTTCCACTTATGTTCAAGCATAAATTTCTGTCACTTCACAACTGAAAGATTTCAGCATCTCATTTGAGTTATGTTCTGTTCGTGTATGTTTGTTAGTATTGGTGTTGGCATTATTTCAAACTTAGCAGAGCACTGGTACCTTACTGGGTATTGTATTTTCTTAAAATATATGTATGTATTCTAAAACAGATCAACAGCATGGTCTACAAACTCTTACAACATTAGTGAGCCCAGCTGGTGCTATTTTAAACAGTATTTTCTTTGAGAGGTACTGTTGTAGTTACTTTGCATTATGCCAGTAATAACAGAAGTTTGAATGATAGGATGCAAAAAACCACAAGAAATTGATCCAAACGAAATAAACCAGCAGCTCAGCATTTGCCAAGCTCCAAAGTCAAGTAATAACAACAGTGCAGTCAACATTGCATTGCTCAATTTTAAACCTTGCTGAGGATGCACACTTAGCAAGATGACATGGATGTGGCATCAAAAAACTGTGTGTGTGTGTATTTGTGTATGTGTGTACATATATAAAATTGAAAAAAGAAAAAGCAGGGCACGTTCATATTTCAAGAAGCATTCAGGGGCATTGAAAAGAAAACCACGCGTTCATCCTGTACACCAGTATAATATTTCTAAATATTCTCATTCAGAATGTTTCTGTTCACTTTTCTCACGTTTAAAGACTAGATTTACGTGACATCTTAGCAGGTTTCATAATAAATTTAAGAATTGGGCTGACATTCCTAGGAAGATGAGTGAAAAGGTGAGTGAAAGATGAAGTGTTTTGTAGCCAAATTAGGATAATGTAACAACCACCAACCAAATGCAGTTAATACAGAACCACTCAGAAGTCACACCTTCAGCTTGCTTTTGCATTTACAAATGTTTGAGCTTGGAATTACAGACTCTGTAGAGCAGAGCAAGGAAAGGAGGGCTGCAGAGAAATAATTCCTAAGGTGGTTGCTGAAATGGTGGTGCCGGCATGAGGCAACGCGAGCGAACTGCGCAGGTGCTGCAGGCGCCTTGCGGTGTAAGGACGGCTGGAGTTCTGCCTGGCTGCTCTCCTGTTTCTCAGGATGGCATTTAAGGGCGAGTTGAAGATCAGAGCCCAAAATATAACTATTTCCCCAGAGTACTGCACCAGTTTCTAGTTGAGAGACTTCCTGACCTAGGTACGTCCGTGTGCAGTTAGTAACCCTGAGCAGATTGCTTGTTCGGTCTCCCCTTGAGTCTAGTGAACTTCTGATGGTCTCAGCATCCTGTGGCGAGGAGTTTCCACAGGCTGGGTGGTGAGGAGAGCCGCTTCCGTGCACCACATGCAGCCTGCCACGGTTGGCTTTTTCAGTGGCCTTCGCTCTTGTGCCGGAGGAGCCGGTGGATGCAGCTGATGTCCAGCTGTCCTCCTCAGCCCCCCTACAAGTCTGTGGGGTGTGTCATACTTCTGCGGCTTTAATCTGTTGGAGAGAGGAGAAACAGAACGGTGCATGATATTCAAAATGCAGTTGATTTATGTACTTACCTAGTGATTTTCTGGTGGTTTTCTACTTCCCTCTTAAGTTCTATCAGTCGTTTTGGCTGTGGCCGAATATTAAACCAACAGCACCATGAAAATACCTACTGTGGTACCAGAAACACCTCCATCATGTCAGCTGAGCCTTTAAATTACTGAGTTATAGTTACCAAGTAGAGTGACACTAACAGAAGGAATGCTTGTGAGTTTTAGGTAGGGGAAACTTCTATTTTTAAAGACAAACCAGACCTATAATCACAGAGATAAAATTATAAGCAGTAGTTTATAGATGTAGGTAGTAAAGGCATTTAGCTTTTACAGTTTTGATTCATGTTATTCAGAGACGCAGCAGTTGCATTAAATTCACACCTTAAAACCTGCAGCATTACCCTTTAAATGCACTGATTCAACATATTAATAATACTGTAAAAAAATGAATTCTTTAAATGATTTAAATGAAATTGTAACCTTGAAAGAATTACTTGGGGTTCTTCAGACAGAGGGAGTTAAATGCTTTTTTTTTTTTTCCAAGTATTTTCGAAATTTGAAATTTGCACAAAAATAATAATAAACAGTCTGGTAAATTCATTTCCAGCAAGAGTTTGCTTGATGATTTTAAGTATTTGTTTCAGGTTTTTGCGATTATTGTCACGTTTGCATGGAGAAAGCAGCACATGATGTGAACATTTCTTTAAAGGTTTCTAGCATACAACAATGCAAACATAACTGTATGTAAAAAAAAATACCCTTCCATACCATAGTTCTGTATGTTATACCATCATACAATGCCATGTGATCCCTCCATTTTGTAAACTAATGTGTACTAGGATTAAAAAAAAAAAAGTACTGTTAATACTTCTCTCAGTCAGAAGTATACTAGTAATCTGAGAGGTTTTGTAACCTTCATTTCATTGTCTGTAGGTAGTTATGCCTGTCCTACTCCATGACCTAGATTATTCTTGCTAAATTTTATAATGGGCTCCATAATTTAGGGCAGTACTTACGACAGTGCAGGAAGGTAATAATTGTCTATGATGGCAAAATTTATTTTTATATAATTGGATCTTATTATGTCAACCATTTGTCTTTGATTTTTATCTAAAATTTTTGTTTACTTATTAATGTTATCTGTGTTTATCCCTATATTTGAGCCGAACTTTTCATATGTTAGGATGTCTTACGAATTTTGTTTTAAACCCTGAATATGTGCAAACCTACCAGTGTCATGAGGAAAAGAATTTTTTACTTTGATGCAGAATTTGCATTTTGGTGTTCGAGACGGTAATCTTGCCATGGGAGATAGATGGCAAGCAGCAGTCTGTCCCAGCACTTTGCTCAGGGTTTAGCTTACCCTCCAAAGCATAAGGCTGTTAGCACAAGTGACAGGGCTAAGAAACATTTGAGTGATTTCTAGCAGTACATTTCCATACTAACAAAAAAAAAATCTGAGAACTTTCTTCCTAGGTTTATTATTCGGACTTTAAAACAAAAGAAAGAAAACTGAGGGACTTCTGCTTTGCTTGGTGTAGCAGTGCTTGGTCAAAGGGAGGAGAGTTTTGTTTCCTAGAGTTCATAAAACTTTAGTTTTAGAAACAATTAAAATGAAATAGAATTACACGCTTAATATATAATTTATTGCTTATATAAGGAATGCAGATGAAGTAGTAACTTTAAAATTATGCAGCCTTGCCACTAAATCCCACCAGGCAGCATAGCTATAACCAATGATGGCTGTCTCAACAGAACAAACTGTGTACTCGTCAGGTGTTTGGATTGTCAGCATTACCATTCATTTGTTCGGCACTGTGTGGAAACTCAGTGTGAGCTTTTTAGTCTAGAAGGTGGATCGAATTCAAACCAAAGATGAGTAAGAAAGTTAGGAAGCAAATTTTAATGTATAGAAGGTAAAAGCAGTAGTTGTGCTGTATGTGAACTTAGGTTTACTGTCATGTGGAAGTAGTAATAGATTTTACTCAAAAACCGATGAGGGATTTGCTGCCTGCTGCCCTAGGATAAACCTGTTGTCAGAGGCACACAACAAGGAAGCTGATACCACTCTTAGATGAAAAGGGATGATGCAGTGTATTAGAATCAGAAATAAGGATTTGGGACAGAGATGTGCAGAGTTTTGAAGCTGAAGATGCTGATCATCCTTCATGAACATATACATGGATGTACAGTGTGTTTTTCCTCGTGTTCACCCACTTCGTAGCTCTATTTATGAGGGATACAAATGGAAAGATGCAGGCAGGTTCCTATCAGTGCTGACGTATCCTTTCACGTTCTGTTTTCTACCTAAAGCAGTTTTTTCTTTTATTTTTTTCTGCAGCAGCTGAGTTAGTGACTTTTTTCCCCTTACTATATTATTCATGTTTATGTGCAAAAATTCCTTGCATAATTATTTTTTAAAGTCCATGGCCGATCCTTGGGTATTTCTGTCTGTACTTCAGACCAATCATCATAATATATCCAAAAGGTTTTTGTACATGTGCAGAGGGAAGGGATTCCCTTCAGCATCCTGTTTTCCTTGGTTTATTAGGTATTTGTTGCTGTTACTTTCCTTCACCACTGAAATTCTGCTTTCCATAAAATAACTTATCCTAGCTATAATGTTCTTATCTTACTTTGGAAGGGAAAGGAAGATTTTTGGGGTCCCTGTAAATGAGAATGTAAGTTGGGGTGATGAAATCCCATATGGCTCCCTCTCCCGGTAGGTGTGCATGAAGCTTTGAGCACAGCCTGGCTGCATTACACCCTTGGGAGGAAGGGTGTAATTAATTAATTAATTTCTTGTATTAATTTCTTGTATTAATTACTTCTTCAGTGGTTCTGATAAGTCCAGTTTTGTGACATTCAACAAAAGCTGACGTCTATTATGCTTCTTGTTGGGGTAAAAAAAAAAAAAATCCTCTTTGGTTTTAGAACTAGATGCTTCTAGTACCATGGCAATCCTGGAGTCATAGTTCACATGTGCAGAGTCGGGTTTGCTGAGAGAACACGAACACTCAATTTCTGTGCACATTTGTATATAAGATTTATAAATTTCTAATGTTTCTCTTTTAGAAAGTGTTTATCAATAATAATTTAAAAAAAAATCTTACAGCCTGGGGTTTGAGTCTAAGTACACTTAACGGTTTGAGACACAGTCCAACAGAAAGCCAGATAACTCCTTGAATACTTAACTCTTCTGATATCCTGTAAGTTAATAATCATAGATATGGCATGACAGCTCTGGTGGGTACAGACAGGTATTTTTCCTTCTAAGACTTGTATTAGCGAGGCTTGCTACTAGTGACCCTCGAGAATTTTGAGAGGGAGGCTATTTCTAAAGGCTTGCGGTTGCATTTGCTCATCATGTGAGTTGGTCTGACATCTGTTCTGGTTAAATTATGATAAAGATAAAACAGTATGCAGTAAGACAAATGGCTAATTCAAAAGAAAAGAAATATGCCAATATTAAAAGCTATGTTCTGGTTTTATTCACATTTTCAGACTGTATTTTCAGGTCATTTACTGATCCAAGCAGCAGAGTGACAGAATATAATAAAATGAAATATGGGTAATATTTAATGCCATGTTTTGTATTAATTGATTAATAGAGAAATGGCAGTACTAGTATAGTCTGCTGTTAGTATGAAAGAGAATCTTACCAGAATGGTGATTTCCTGTCTAGTAACTGTTTTTTTTTTCTTTTTCTTTTCTTTTTTTTTTTCCCCCCTTCTGGCATGTTCCTGACACTCCTACTTGCTTGCGGGAATGAATATTTTGATCCTTGTGAATTGTAGAGCCTATTGTGAAGAATGGCAGGCCTCCAACGTCTCACAGCATGCACTCATTTCTCCACCAATACACAGGATCTTTCAAGAAGCCCCCTTTACGGAGACCTCATAGCGTCATAGGGGGCAGCCTCGGCTCTTTCATGGCAATGCCCAGAAATGGGAGCAGATTAGGTAATTTATTACATTGTTTGTTTAAATTCAGTTTTCTGTGAAGAATAATGTCTGTATTAATTCTTAGCAAGAGATGATGTTATTCTAATGCTTTAATAAATCTCTGGGAATGAGTAGTCTTTTTCTAGGGTTGTTAGAGATACTTGGTTTTAAGGTACTGAATGTCTCTTATGATTTTCAGGAAGAAAGCAATTACAAGACCACACAGAAATCACCCGTAAATTGTTGACAAGTGTGAAGTTGCAAATGTTACAAAATATTCTTTTTTAATACTTTGCAAGAAACCTCTGTGTCCATCTCAGTTAAGCATTGGTGAGCACAACAATAAATGGACTATGATAAAAAGAGAGGATAATCGTCCTATATGTGGAATTTAAAAGAAAACTGGTATATTAATTAGAGTTGTCAGTATTATAAGAAAAAATTAGCTTTTTTCAGTGATATGTTAAAGCCACTCAACTATAATTATCTTTTTGTTGTGGTCACAAGCTATATTTGAGGTTCTGTGGGCCAAATAAGTTAACGAGAAGAAAAACCCTTTTGTTCAAGTAATGTGTCATGTTGCTGCCTCCAGTCAGCATTAATGTTTTACCCTGCTTTTATGTTATTTTAAATTATGCTTAATTAATTGATACCAGAAAATGAGAGCAAGTCACAGTTTAATTACAATGTTATGAATTTTTCAATCTTCTGCCCTCATTTAGAAGCATGTGATAACCTGATCTCCTTCAAGATTAAGCTATGAGTCTTTAAGATAATAGTCAAACCACTGATGTCCTTCTCTGCTGTAATATCACTCATGATGTTCAAAAACTTGCCTTTTTATTGTTTGTGCTACCGTTGAGACTGAAAAAAGAATTCTCACCCCTTGAATGGACTCTAGCAGCTGTTATCACAGAAGAAAACATGTTTTAATGTGCACATTTTGACTGCTCTAGCAATTCCTGATTTCACTCAAGTCCTATACACATTTTTTTTTTTTCTTTTTTTCCTAGCCAGGCTTTGCTTAAGTTGCCAAGAATCTTATCAAGAGAAAAGTTGAAAATAAAACTGTGTGCTTAAAATATCTGGTTGGCAATATTTATTCTTTTATGGATTATTTGTCAAGTCAGCTGTTTGTAAACTGTGTTCAGGAACAGCAGAGATGTATACTTCCCTACTCTTGGGTTTGCGTGTTGCCTTTAGAAGTATTCTACAGTATTTTTAAAAGTAAATTTACCAATAACTTACCTCTTCTTCAGATTTTCACTATGAACATTGAATCAGCTTTGCAAAAGGAAAATTAGCAAAGTTTTTTGTTCTTTAAGTGTTTTTCCAGTTTTCTCAGTTTTATTTTTTACCTGAGAAAAACACTAATACGTAAGCATTGCAGAAAAATGCTAATAGTTTTATTTTTCTCAGGTGATCAAGTGTTTACATAGCACACACAATTTTAATATGTTAGTCTGTAGAAGTGTTACAATAACAGGTTTTAAATAGCTACCTATTCCTGTAGAATTTGTAATGTGGAATAGATATACTGAGTATATGCACTTATGTGTGAAACACCTCTTCTTTGGATGCAGTGATGCCACTGATGATGCCTTTTTTTTTTTTACTCTTTTGATGAAAATCTAAGCTACTTCTACAGATAACACAAGTACAAGCACATGCAAGCATAATTGCTAATGGTCTTTCTACTTCTCCTTCAAATCTTACCTCCTTTTGTTCCTGCCATATGAGAGTGGTTATTACTCAGCAGGATACTGAGGTTTTCTCAGTTGGGTAATGACATCAGAAATGAAACAGTCAAATAGTCCACACTACATGAAACTTTTTACTTTCTTTGCTTTTTTTATTCATCCTCTTTTCTTTCCACCTTTTCCTCCATTCAAAAGGTGGAAAAATGCTATCAGAGAGGTATCCTTGAAATATCACAAATAATAGCAATTACAAAATGGCTATTTGGTTAAAAACAGATTAAACCAAGACCTTTCATGGGTGCATCTTCCACCTGCTTGCTTTTGAATGAGATTGTCAGTATAAAAATAGGTTGAGAAGCCCAGGAGAGTTTTGGAGTTTTGCTTGTATTCTGAGCACTGAACGTGGATTTCTGCTGTTGTGATAACATGTAAAATCCCAAAATATTTTTAAAAGAATTTCTACTTGGAAACATCTGTTAGCTTTAGGTTTTGTAAAATGTTTTGTAAAGACAAACATGCTGAACTGATCTTGAAAAAGTGTGCCTTTGTTTAAAATTTTGTAGTCATATTTAATTTATTACTCAGTTATCATGATGATTTTAAATAATGTAGGTGATTTTCAGGCCAAATTGTGCATCAGCCATGACACTGGTATGGATGAAGGTCTAGCTGAAGATTTTTTTATCTATACAGCTTCCAAAGTCTTGCACCTCCAGAACCATTTAACCACTGCAGGCCATGATGGATTCAGAGTTTATAAACCCTTTTTGGACCTGACCTGGCTGAATGCAGATCCAACTTAATTGTCCTTGTTCCGTACTTCTATTAATGGGAGCACTGGAGAGGAGCCTGGAATATGCAAAGCCAATATGGAGCTGAAGCTAACCTTCCCGGTGAACCTCAGTGGCAGCTGAGGGACAGCTGATCCCTGCTTTTGCCAGTGATGTTCATAGAGTTATGGAAAGGCTTTGTGTCTGTCGTAAATACTGAAATTGAAAGGAATGGTATTTCATTCAGGTTTCATAGATCGCTAATGTTAACAGCAAAGGCAATTTCCCACTACTGCCCTCCTCAATTTGAATTGTTATTAGTGAAACTAACCATAAAGTGTAGCCACTCCATAGGCAAAGTAAGCTTTTGAAAAGTGCACCTTGGAAGGAATCCAAGATGCAAGTCACATGATCATTTTTGTAATCATTTGAAATAAGATGAAAAGATCATGCAGCCTGACTCACTGCTGACTCATTAGTGCATATTATTTTAGCCCACTTGGAGAAGTTCTCGGTTGCTGCACTGTAGGTTCCCTATATGACTTTCTTCTGTGGTGCATTCCCCACAGCTGAAATGAGGACAGCCTTTTCTTTTAAATGTACTTCCATAGTTTTCCTGTTATATTGTAGTCCTGGACAGCTTTTATTGCATGGCCATACTGGATATTTAATTAGATACGTAGAATACATTAAAATAAACATCTGTGTAAGAGAAGGGCTTGGGTATTCAGTGAAAACAATTCAATAAATTATTGAACTCTTAAAACCTCCAAAGACCACGCAAAAGCTGGCTTTGGTGCAGGTGAATTTGCCTATAGAAAAGCTTAGTGAAATTAAGAAATATTTGCATGATTTTCATCATTGCTTAATCAAATATTATCATCATGCACCTGTGTAAAATGATTAAAATGGCTAGGTTAATGCTTTATTCCTGGGTTTATGCTATTGAAATAATGCTCTACTAATTAAATTATTTAAAGTAGGGCTCTACTAATGTCTTTTAAATTCAATAAAATCAAAGGACACCTCTATATTAGATGATAACACGGTCAAGGGTTTTTTTCCAAAAGCTTAAAAGTATCCATATTTAGAATATAATTAAAACATCTGGAAACTCTTAGTTAGGAGCAGTTGGGTATTTAGTCTATTGGAAAATCAGACATGTGCTTAATGAAAGATTTCTGGGTGCTACAGCCGGTATCCTGCTTAAACCCTTTGGTTATGGGTATGTAGCTTATGCAGACTTAACGGAATTAATCATATCACAGCAGTATTCAAAATAGACTGACCATCATCTTATTTAAGTCTGAAATACTACATTTTTAGAGTTGAGTGGTACAGACCCACTTTGTTGTTACGTTCCTGATTTATGAAGAACAGAATCTCCTTACAGCTATGTTATCTGCTCCAAATATATCGGTTTGTGTTACTACTCCTTGAAATAGTCCTTAGTTGTGTATTTTTGCATAGATGGTGTTTGTGGTAGAAGTGTCTTTGTCAACTAGGAAGCTCTTTGTAGTTCTGAGCGTTGATTTTCAAAGTGTCGGTGTTTTAATAGTAATTTCATAATACATAGGCTTTTGTGAATTGAACATTGTGTTTTAAGATGAAAAATATGACAGTGTCAATCACATGATGACTTCAGTAAGTGTCAGTCTTTTTTTAAAAAAGAAATTATGTAATTGCTCCACATCTTAAAATACAATACTTTATTCATTTTGTCAGTCTTATTTTGTGAGCATGCCCAGATAACTGTCTCTTGTCTAGCTTCTCTAAAGAAAATACACTTTGGGTCCCAATCAATGGGCTTGTACTAACATGAGGATAAATTGGGGAACAATTGTTAGTAGCTGTTGCACTTCATTTTGCAAACAGAATCTTGAGAACTTTAACTGCTAAAATGGTTTACATGACCTCTCCGAAAAGTTTTTTAGAAGAGAATCCTTATTAAAGAACTGATATGGTGAATGTGCTCTTTACCAGTTGCAGTAATGCTGGCATAACAGCTTTGCTGCAAGTAGTGTTTTCAATAATGCTTTTATATGACTAAAAATAATGGCCTACAGTTTGTTAGCTTTTAAAAAGACAGCTATCAAGTCACTACAGAGAATAAGAGAGATTTCTTAGAGACTTGGCAAAAGAGAGTCACATTTTGTCTGCTTAGCTTAAGGTTAGGGCTGATACTTAGGAGACACTTTCTGAAAATCTTTTCCTCTGCTTCAAACTACCATGCCTTTAGAACCACAAGTATTTACCTTGTTTGAAACCAGAAGTTTGCTTCTCATTATGCAAGGAGTGCAGCTTATTTTCTTCGCATTCAGTCCATATCTGAGCATGACTTGCAGGAAAAAATCTGATGCAGTGTGGATTTTTAATCAAAATCCAACTTAGGTCTGCGTTACTGCTAGAAAGTTTGCTTTGTGCATGAGATATGCATGCTTAGTTTGTGTGTTTAATTACAGGGCTTCGAGTTAAAATACAGTACCTTAAGAGTTAATTTTCTTATATCCATTCTGTTTTCTGTAAAAGGAAATTCTTTGTACTGTGGAGGAATTTGATCGTTTGAAGTCTACATGATTCTATGTGAACCCAACTAGACAAACATTTTTGAAGATGTGCTGATAACCAGACATTGGCCTAAAGGCTTTTTTTTCTAGAAAGTCCAGCCTTCTCACTCATTGGTAGCGATAAAACTTGTGTTCTCTCTCTCTCTCTCTCTCTCTCTTTTTTTTTTTTTCCTAATTGCTGTAATGCTGTGCAAATGTTAAATATTTTCAGGTAGGTTGGTGGTAAGGCTGAATTGAGCTTTTTGTGTTTTGCTAATATTAGCATTTTTTAGGACTCGAGTTCTGAGATTTTTAGTTACTCTTCAAGTTCTCTCTTATCCTGTACAAGATCATGCTTAATACCAAGGATCAGGAGGGGGCAGGAAATTGGTGCTTTTGAAGCACCTCCTTTATATGTGTAAGTATTTAATCTCTGTAGTAATTTGGAGTTCAAATATTTCAGAGGTGATGATGGAGCATTACTCACAGTCAATTGCTTGTATGACCAATTTCCCACTGGGTGTCCTTGTGCAAGTCATTTGGCTCTTTATGCTGTTAATGGGACCACCTTAAACGTCACTCATTATGGTGTTTGCCTTCCAAAGTCTGGAAGATCCTGTGGTGCTTAAAAGTAAGGTAGATGTGTATACAGTAGGTTATGTCCCCTCCCTCCACACAGGCACACCAGTGGTTTTTATATCTTAGGTTTCCATATTTAGCATTTCTGAAAATAATGCCTATACCTCTCAGGTTTTTTTAAGTTTTCTGAAGGTGGCTGACATCAGGTAGTCTGATCTGAGTATTTTAAATATTCTCAGTAATGTTTTATGTCCAAGGGCAGCAAAAAGAAAAGAGGTAGTGTGAGGGAGTTTGGGAACTGAAGCCATGAGGGGAAGGTGGCTTATAGGAATTAAAATTGGGATCGGACTGTCTGTGTCTTGTTTTGGAAAATTGAGTTCTGCTGCAAACCAAGTAAGAAAAAAAATGAGAAAGTTTGTGTAGGAGTCCTGTAAAGTAATCCTGTTCATTTTGTGATTCCTTATATGAGAAGTATATCAAGATGACTATGACTGGATGGTCATGACATAAATATTTCTTTGACATAAAAACCAATGCACAGTAATGATACAGTTGTTTTCCATCTGTACAAGAGAGATGTTTGGTGGAATGCTGATTAACTGTTTTCAAATCTTCTGGTTCTTTTTAAGATATTGTTCATGAAAATCTGAAAATGGGGTCAGATGGGGAAAGTGACCAAGCTTCTGGAACGTCATCTGATGAAGTTCAGTCTCCCACAGGAGTTTGTCTCAGAAACCGGATACACAGACGAATCTCAATGGAGGTAATTCACTTTTCATATAAGGGTCCTTCATACTGACAAGAGAGTTGCGGGTTGCTTTACTCTTCATTCTAACTGGTTGTCTTCTCAATTAATTATTCTGACATGGATTTCATGCAGAGAGCGTTATTTTAATATTACTTAAATTTCTGTCTCTGTCACACAGAAATCATATGCTTATCTTGTACTGTTTATTAACTGTTAATTTTGAAAAGCAAGTATGTTTTGAAACTTAGTTTTTTTGGAAGAATTTGTTAAGTGTAGCATTATGACATGTAGCACTGGAATATCTTTCCATCACATTCTGTGCAATTCACTGAGTATATTCAAGAGGTTAGTGTTCAGACATGCTTTACTTGAGACTTTTCTAATCTTTGTGAAACTAATGCTACAGCAGCAATGGTCCTGACTGCTTCAGCCTTTCCCTGTCTTCCTGTTTTGTAATGAACGGAACTTTACAGGATGATAAACAAAAGGAGGAAAAGTACCTTATGAATAACTGCACATAATTTCCTTTATTTATGAGTCTCATTATGAATACTAGCCACCCTTGTGCTTGCTTTGTTGTCATTTCCCTTGGTGAAGAAAAACAGAACACTTCCCTGTTTCCTGAGTGTATAAAAGTTACAATTATAAAGATGCCTTTGTTACAGAAGCATGTAAAATTTTGTAGTTGCTGCCTTATAGCATACATACCAACATGCATAGTTTGTAAGATTTTAAGTCTCCATTCAAAGCCTGATACCAAATACAGGAGTGGGGAAACAGATCTGGATAAGTTACAGTAGGGTGCACATGCCAAATTTTTTTTTTATTTGTGAGGCGTTCTGTTATGCTTGGAATTCCAAGACTCCAAGCATGTAATGCTGGTATGATTCCAAGAACTTGTGAATTAGCTGTATTAATTCTTTACATAATTTCTAGCACCAGGGGGGATTTTGTTTTCAAATTCCTAAATTTGTATGTTGATCTCAGGTTTGATCTAAAGACTGTTAAAAAATTTACTTGGGAGAACTAAGGTATTGGTTTATGCAGGAAGCTTAAATTTAGAAAAAAGTTACTGTGAAAACTGGCACATCAAAATGTATGCTGGAGAAATTAAAAATCAAGGAAATGATTTAAAAGGATTTTTTACTTTTTGCTCATTGTCTGTTTCCTCTGCATTTTGAAATGTGCGCTTTATTTTCCTTATTTATTTCCTGTTATAGTGATATATAATGAAATTAACAAACTGAAATGCAAATGTGTCAAGTCTTCTCGAGCAAGCTGAGAACCATTAATGGATTCTCTTTAGATTAGGATCCAAGAAACTAAAAGAAATTACAAAAGGACTCAGGAATTGTCATTAAAAGTTCAGGAAATTTTTGTGTAATTTTTCAGAAGGCATCAAATAAAAGCATCTTTTCATTGGCCTCTTTAATTGTGAAACAATTCTAATAATATGGCTTAAGAGATTTTGGGAAGCTTTTACTTAAATTTTGTTTATCCAATGCTAATTTGCTCTTTTTTTTTTCCCCAAATTCCAAATGCCTCTTGCTGATTGTTGAAATTAATGTTATTTCTTCATTGACTGGGTCAGTGAATGTAAGCACTAATTTTTTGGCAGTTATTCTTGTATATTCTCTGAGAATTGCAATGTTTCCCTCAAATCGCTTCAGTATTGATATGGTGACTTTTCCAACAAGGTTTCAAGCCAGTGTCCATGAGCACGCTCACTTCTGAATTTTAAGAATGCTGTCATTGAGAGATATTTTTGGTCGATTTAAGTTTACTTTGTAGAAGTGCTTTGTAGCATAGTAGGCAGTGTTTTTACCTGTTTGTGTGTACCAGAGTCAAAAAAACCCAACTTGTAACCACCTTTGTGGTTTCGGTTAAAATACCTTTCTAGTCATAATCTTTTCAGCCGACTTTCTCATTTCCTAAGTGAAAAGGCCTTAAGTGATTGCATCGTCTGCCTGTCTTTTCTTCCTCTTGTTTTTCCCGTGGGTCATTTTCTCTCAGTTTTGACAGATGGATAGAAATCTCAGATGCTAATTTTCTATTAATTTCTGTGAAAAAAATCTGTGAAAAGAGATTGTTAATGCATTTACTGCTAGGAAAGATGCAACCTTTATTAAACACCAGAGTATCCACATAAGACTTGAGTCTCAAGATGTACATCCATAGAAAATCAGGTTTTACTGTTTTTGCTGTTTGTGGGGTGGGATCACTTGCTTCCTTGGCTTTTGGGGGAACTGAATAAAGGTCTCCTCTTGTACCAAATTTTGCCTGCATGCCTTGGGTCATTTGTGCCATGGAGATGGCTGGTTCACTAGTAGTAATTTGATTATATAAAGAAAAAAAGACAGTCTTTGTTGTGAAGTTTCTATTATTTCAGTTTTATTTTGCTGGTTTGTGAGGATCTGTCATCTCTAGACACCACTGAGTAGCCTGAGGCCATACTCCCTTTATAGTCATTTAGGATGAGTTACAACTGTATGCTGTACATACAAGTTGGAGTAAATTAGTATGTGTGTGATAGTATGATTTTGCTGTAGTGTGCTGAAGTCATTAGTCACACTTGATATCCATTGTGGAATGTGTTTGATTAAATATACAAAGTTGGATAAACCCAGTAAATCAATATTCATCATTCCTCTGCATTAAGATGAATGTACCTGTCACACTACCACTGTATCCTTTTTTATGCTTAGTTTGGCCCATATTCACTGTATTTGTAATATTTTTGTACATAATTTCTTGTATATGTTTGTTTCTCTCTGCTGAATTGAAAGAAGCCCTGATTTATCAGTTAAAGCTGAAATATTGGAATAGTCCTTTTTACTTGTAAGAATTTAGTGTATATAGCTAAATTTTTCATGCTCAGTTTGAACTTCCTCTAGAATTCTGAAAATTAGCAGCCCATCAAAAAAACCCAACCAGTTTTTTAAAAGTTCTTGCTAAAACATGCGTGTTGTAATCAAAGGGCTAATTACCAATAATGACTATTAGTATTCTTGGGATGTTTTGTACATTAGAATGCACATTTTGATTCTTAGTGTCCATCCCCACTGCAGTGAACCATATAATGAAGCTGCTTTCTCTGTAGTCACTGATTAACACAGAGCTACAAATAGAATTGTAGTGTTGTCGAAGAGCGGACATACCTCTTGTCCAGAGCATATGAAAAACTTTGTTGGGAAAGGAAGCTTGATCTTTCTAAAATTTTCCTGTAAAGGTATCCTGAAAGAGAGAGAACTGCAAAATCGATGAAGGAAATGCACCTAGAAAATGTGTTTGTTAGAGCAGAATCTCCATAGCAACAGAAAGCTGAAATTTTGTAACCTTAAGTTGACATGGTTTAGATAGGAAACAGCCATACTGCGATGTAACCTACATATCAAAGTGGTTTAGATACGAAGAGGAGAAACTGCAGTGAGAGAGAATCCTGCTCCGCAGTTTAAAAATCTGCTGAGGTGAAAACTGGAGATTCCAGCTTTCAATCTGTCACCCCCTGCAATGACATTAAATTTAGGGCAGCAGGGCTGGTACAGACAGGGAGATGATAGGCATTTGCTTCTGAATTCAACAACACTGCGCTTGTGGGACTAGATGGGTTTTTTTTAAATCATTGTTCATTGTTATTGTGTGCTTAGAAAACAAAGAGAACATACCAGAATCTCATTGTGTTGCCTAGATAAAGTTTATTTTGCCTGTAATCCACCGGCTGCAAGTGGTCCATAAAGCGGTTGCTTTTTTTTCCTTCTTCCTTCCCCTCATTCAGAAACCATGCTGACAGTAGGTGCGAACATCTATTGTGTGAGGAATTTGGCTTCTAGCAGCTGTTAGGCTTTAATTAAAACATCTACTAATCTCATCTTAATATTACTGATTACTTAATGAATCAGCAAAACTGTTTATGAAAGGGATGTATGGAATAATTTTTTCTTTTTCAAGCACGAGAAGCAATACGGCCTACGAATGAATGCATGTGTGTCTGTGTTTTAAATGTAGGTGCTTTCATCATGTAATGAAAAAACACTTCTTCAGATCATGGAGTTACAGCTTAAAGCCTTTACACTTTGATTTGCTGGAAAAGATGATGTGGGCAGTAATGCATTAATATAAATTCATGTTTCAAGCTGTAAGTGTTCACTGGGGGCCCTGTGCCTGTGCACTAGATAGTGGATGGTTCATTAAGAACTGTGGTGGATAAAAAATGGGGAGATACAGCCTGTGCAAATTGAAACATCTGTTTCCCTTTCCCAAGAGTACAAGATCTGTAGGCTGTCTTCGCATGTGAACTGGCGGAGGGCCATAACCCACTGTTCACCAGCCTGTTTCCCAGATATTTTATCCTGAGAAACAGTTCTTATCTGTCCAACTGTCACATTAGTGACAGGAGCATGTTCCAGATCAGGCTGCTCCTGCCACACTGCTCTAGGGTATAATTCTTCCCTGGGAGGATTAGCTGCAGGGTTAGTGCTTTCAGCTGAAGAGAGAAATACAGAGGTTAAGAAGTGATCCTGTAGTCGTGTGTGCATTGAACTGGTCACCTTCCAAAAAAGAGAACGATAAAAAGAAACGCTTGTTTGGTGAGTTCCATCCTTTCCAGGTGTGTGACTGCCTTGGGGGTCTTGACACAGCCTGAGGAACTCTGTCTGCTGTTGGTCCAGCTGGGCACGTGTACCTTCTCCAGAGAAACACCCACAGTTAATTGATGTTTCAGCTAATGTAGTGCTAAGATTTCTGTTTGTAGGCCTCAGGTTAGAAGGTCGTTCATAGTTCCTCATTCACATATGCAAAGAGGACACTCTCGGATCCATTAAGTTGTTTAAATTCTTGGACAGCAGGCCTTTGGCAGTACTGATCCAGACTTTTGGTCAGAGACAGTTAAGTGTTTTTTGCTGTCCTTAGTTTTGGAAGCAGGAAAGACTGGATCAAAGCCAGCCTGAGCATTCAGCCTTACATTGCTTGCCACTGGAGCAGCTCCCTTGGACCCCCAGCAGGCGTTACTACAGGGT